AGCGCAGGGCCATCAATCAATATGCAGGCATGCGGTCGTAGCTGCAGGTGCTGGTGCTGGTGCAGGTGCAGGTGCTGCAAATATCAAATCAAACCACACACAGAACAAACAAAAATGGCATGCAACAATAACGGCACATTCGAGCCACCATAAAATGCTGGCCAAAAACACAACAAAAAGAGAAGACCAAAGAAACCGTAGCGCAAATAGCCAGCGAAGCGGGCCAAGCCAATCCACGCACACACACACACACACTCACATGCATGTGTGTGTGTGTGTTGAACTAGGTCAGGCTTTAACGGTAGTCGTGTGAAATTCGCCGCACCAACGGGCAGCAGGCAAAGGGGCGGTCCCCACGTGTAACGGCACTCGCCCGAGGCGAGCCGCCACACGCTGTGGCGACAGAGAAGCATGCGCAGCTGGCAGCTGGCGCCCCTCTGGCGCAATTCGCCGCGGGCGCGCAAATTCGCCGCAGGCCCAGTCGTGCCCTTATCAGCCGCCCCTGCGCGCACAGTGGGCGGCTCGCAGTGTTTTGTTTCTTGTCTTTGTTTCTTCTGCAATTTCGCTTTTGAATATCAATTGCATTTTATTATGTGGCGGGCTTCGCTTTTACTGTTTGCCGTTTTCAGTTTTCGGTTTTCGGTTTTCAGTTTTCGGTTTTCAGTTTTGGGTTTTTCGGTTGTGCATCGCGTGTCCGCAGGCACCTCCACGCCCCCCACGAAAAAAAAAAGTTGTAGAGAAGCCAGCAGATGCCACAACAACAAGCCACGACAGCGACAACAGAAGTTTTCTTTGCCATTTGGCTTTGTCGAGCCGTGTCGTGCCCTGACATTTGCCAAAAAACAACAACAACAACAACAACAACAATAGCAGAGAGTGGAAAAAACAAAGCCACAGAAAAGCTCGTGCAGCGGTCGCCTGTGCCATGTCTCCTGTCTGCTGTCTCCTGTCTCCAGTCATAAACAGCGCCGTGTCCTGCCCCGTCGGCTCCGTCTCCTGCCTGCTCCTGCTGCTGCTGCTGCTGGGCCATGTGCATGTAATTATTTTTGCGAAAAATATTTCAATGCAAATATTGTAGAAACTCCAAGTTGCGGTGCTCCTACTGCTCCTGCTACTGCTCCCACTCCGGTTCCTCCTCCTCCTGCTCCCTGCATAGTTTATGCACTTTTGCTTTTCGTTTGACAGCAATATATGTATATATGTATGTATGTGTGACCGAGTTTTTGGCTTAAATGTGTAACTGGTAGGCCGCCATTGAAGTTGGCCATATTCTTTTCGGCTCGCAGCCGCAAATTAATCAAAATTTTAAATTGTATTTGCCAAATGCCGCAATAATAAAACAACAATTTTGTATGCAAATTGATGTTGGAACAGTCGCAGCAGCAACAACAGCAGCAACACCAACGGAAAATGAGCAAACTTAATGGCCAACAAATTCGAAGTGAATTTTCTCGGCTAAATATTTACTCAACAACTGGCTGAAAGCCTTAACACATTTAGCCAAAAACTCTTCAGCCAGAAGCCCACTCAACCCACGCACAATATGTATTTGCAATGGAGTGAGAGAAGCACACACACACACAATGGGAGAGGGGAGGGGCGAGAGAGAAATTCGCACTGCCTAACGATAATTACACTGCTTAACATAATTACACTTTCCTTTTTTTCTGTTCGAATGCGGCAGTTGCTTGTGACTCGCATAGTTTTAGCTAGGCTCTGAAATTTATTTTTAGCTTTCTCTGAATATAGAGTTTTGTGAATGTTGCTAAGGATTCAAGTCTCAATCAGTTTGGCCAGATACTGAATGCCCTTAAAGTTGACTACAATCGATCAGGTGTGACGATTTGATGTGACTTGCCCTGTATAGTAAAGTTGAAGTAATATGATTGAAGTATACCTTGAAATTGACTCGATTCATGGGTCCTTAGAAGAAGAATCTTCAAGACTTAACTTTAACTATTTCTAATTGATTTTTTGTATTACATTTTGATACATATCTACTTTGAGCTCTTTAAAGTTATCACCATCTGATGGTATTCCGCAACCTCAAAACATAAACTCAGAATATTATATTCTGATCTAGTTTAGCTGTGGTCTCGGTGAGGCCTTCATTTCCTCAGTCGAAGCATCGTCTCTTCCAGTTTTGTGGTACCACAAAATGTTACATAAAATCAGGTGTACGGCATACTTGCTCCATTTCTCAAGCAAAGCAGCTGTCAAAAGTAAGCTGCGCATTCAAAGAGCAACTTTTCCTGATCCCAAGTGAAGCACATGAGCATCATCAATACAATGCCTACCCCACAGCCCAGATAATCGAATTTCATAGAAATTCTTTCAGCCTTACACTTTTTAACAGTTGCCTGCAGAAAACTTGTTCGACAGTGTTATCAAACACACACACACACACACACAAACGCCCAAAACACATACTCGCACACACACACGCGCACACATATAGATACGCATATAAATAGCAAATGATCGTAATTACATACCCTCTCCATGTCAAGACAGCATACATATGCAGACAGGGTATTTGCTAGTCGAGCTACTCGAATTTCTTTGGCAATTTGAAGTCAAATGTGAGCCGAGAGCTGAGAAAAAGGCGCAAGGCAAATTCTCGCGCTCTTTGCAACTTTTGCGTTAACATTATTTTATTTAATTAGGCAAATGTATGCAAACCCACACACACACACATGTACACATCACACACACACTCACACACACCTTCACACACATACACACACACATAGTTAAAAGTAGCACAACACATGTTGTTGTAATTACAACGAAGTTTAATAAAGATGCCTCTGCCTGCGCCCGGGCCTTGGCCCCTCTACCTCTACCTCTGCCTCTGCCTTTGCCTGTGACTACAGTGCGTATAATTGTAAATATACTTTAAGCACAATGTGTGTGTGTATGTGCACGTGTGTGCGTGTGCGTAAAGGTAGCAATGTATTTTAATTGTTAGCCATAAAACTTTAAAGGCATTTTGAAAAATTAACTACCCAAATTGGGGCACAAGTGTGCTTTAGCATCAACCAAACTCTACCGAATTTCCCGTGAGCTAAACGAGTTTCGATACAATTTAGTATTATTAAAATTTATTCCAGAGCAAACTAGGCATGCAAATGACATACATAGCTGCTAATAACTTATCTATGTGCAACGAAAATCTTTCATATCAAATATATCTAATTAAAAGTGAGTCAATGAAATGTTGATAGTGCTGTAGAGTCCTATTCTCCTCACATACACCCACATATTAGAATATTTTAGATAGATAGATTTTGTGGTCTTCTAAATACCTTTAGATGAACCTTAATATAAATTACTAACAATAAAAAAGTATGTGAAAGAGAATGAATGATATGGAGAGTGATGGAAATATGAATATCAGATTTTAGATATCTATTGGTTGGGATTTACGAGTTTGCGGCGTTTGCTGCGAACGGACAGACAGGAGGACGGGCAGATGAACCATCAGACAAACGCCAGGACGGAAGGATTCACCCAGCTAGTCGTCCTAATACAGAAAGTACTTATATACCGATTCTCAATATTCATTGAGTGATAATTACAATTATACGTAATCATAGGATACATAGTATAATAATATAGCAATGCTCGATTATCAGATTTCATATCATTAAATTAAAATTCTTAAAACTCAACAAAATTCTCGGTTTGCTTTTGATAATACTTTTTCTTTATTAATATTTTTTATTGAATTTGTGTTTTATACATTTTTTTGTTTCTTTTCTTGTTTTCTTTTTTTGCATTATTTATAATATATATTTATTTATATATATATATATATATATATTTAATTCTCCCGCATATCCTTCTCCATGATACAGTTCACCCACAAATACATTATGTTTTCTTTTGCTTGTAAATATGATATACAATAAAAATGTCTATACAATTAAGGATACAAAAGTTGGTTAAATGTAAGGCTTAAACTAAAGTTATGTCTTCCAGTAATTAAGAATAGCAAGAGTTTCCTTCTCCTTTTTTGTTTCTAGTCAGCTTGAAGTACAAATCATAGTAGGCGTAATTAATATAGGCGTATTTATAGAGTACAATCTTAAATCGTACGATTTGAAATCACTTGAACTTGGGCTTAGGCAAAGCAAAAAGCAGACACAATAAACTCAAAGAAAAAACCAAAAAATCCAAAATTATCGTCAAATGTACAAAATTGCTAAGCGGTTTATCTGTCTGTGTGTTTAAGTGTCTTTCGCTAAATATATCAAAGGCAATGTAGAAATTGATTTGCTCAGTTTTGTAAAAGGCCAAATAATATGCATTTGATATCTCAATACACGAGTCAAACTTTACTTTCCAGAAGGCTCTTGACTGTCTCTAATCATAACTCAAACTGGCTAAGATATAACTCTTACAGTTCTTGAGATAATTTCGAATCAATATAATTTCAATTTTTGAATATGTATTCCTTGCTCTTAAAGATCATTTTGATAGCTGAAAGAACTACCTAGACTATTTTCAAATTGTTCAAATTGCTTATATATCAAAAATATCTCAACTGCTGAATGATAATTGAAGGGAGTATGGAGGGGAAACAGATGTTATGGACTACAGTTGATTAGTAAATTCAATAGATGATATTTCAGTGATATTAAAAGTGTTTTCGAAAAGGTAAAAACGGATTTATAGGTGAGGAGCAGTAGGTTCAGTTATCAAAGCGATCTTCTGGCAAAATAAATTGATATTCGGATACAGAGTCTTTAGCTCTTTTAACTCAAAATGCTCTTATATCATAGGCCTTACTCAGTCAAGGATCTGCTGGAAAGTATTATCTGCTGCTTGAATATGATATTTCATTAATTTTGTTGGCCTGTGTAATAAATATTATTATTCCTTGCCTTCAGGCATAATTATAGCAATTTTTGCCTCAATCATCGATTTGAGCATTACACATATTCTCTCTCTCGTTCGCTTATCGCGCTCTCCTTCTACCAGAATGCACTTGTATAATCAGCATTACGCACATCCTGCTCCCTCTATATATATATATATTATATAGGTATAAATTTGTGTTTCATAAATATGTTTATCGTTTCTTTTTGATTAGCTAAATGGAAATAACTTTTAAGTTTGCGTGTGTCTGAATGAGTGAGTAAGTGTGTGTGAGTATCTGTGTGTGTGTGTGTATATATACATCAAAATATTTGCATATTGGCATCTATGTCTTGTATAATTGTCAAAAAGGAAATCGAAAAGAAAATTTAGCTACCTCCGCTATTGCTTGCACTTGAACTGAAAAGTCAATCGAAAAATACTTTAGCACTCGCGACTGACCGCTGCTGCGCGCCCCTCCGATCTTACTTTGAGCTACCTCTCTCTCTCACTCTCTTTCTCTCTCTTGTATCACTTTACCCGGGCGCTGTTCAGTGGCCAGTTGTCTAAGCAAAAGAGCCGCGCAAAGCCTTAATCTATATATATTTTTTATACAATGTCTCATTGTTGTTTTCTTGTTTTTCTCGCAATATGCTTGAGTTGGTTTTGGATATTGTTAAACGCGCTCCACGCCCTTGTTTCGTGAAGGTCGCTTGGCTTCCATCTAGCGCTTCCTTTGTTAACGTACTCGCGATGTGGGTCTGCAAAGAATTTTGACGTTAGTAAAGTTCGCTGGGAATTTATATTTATATTTATAGAGTTGAGGCCTTTGTATAACGAGATTAGCGCAGAGACTTGATGTGAATTTTAGCTATTCTCCTTACTCTCCTTTTATTCCATTCGTATAACCCTCGAAAGTAATAATGGTCCAGTTCTGTAAACCCATTTCAAACCAGACTGTACTAACTGCTGACCCATTTCGGTTGCTTTATCAATCTCAGCTTAGACTTATCTGAGCCGCACATCTAATCGGAATATTTTTATTTGGTATCAGTAAAATCAATTTTTATTGGTATCATGTTGATCTTGGAAGAGATCTTGGAAGCTCTGTCAAGTTAGTTGATCTAGACTTTAGATGATATTTGGCTAAGACAGTTTATGATTTTCGATGCGTAATATTGACTTGAATGAAGATCATTTCACATCAGGATCTCAAATGAGCTCAGAAGAAGATTTGGCCTACTATCCATGTGATCTAACATCTATCGAATATGGCTAGAATTCCTCCTCTAGCACCTCGAACTATCAAGTATGAGTAAAATTACAATCAAATCCCATGTGGTCCTCAATGATTCATCGATGATCTCTCGGCTTCACCTCTGTCTCTGTCTCTCTCTCTCTCTCTCTCGTTAACTCAACTTCACTCCTGCTCACCTGGACGTTGCTGCAGCTACTTGACGCTTGGGTGTACTGGGCGTGGTCGCCGCTGGGGCGACGCCGCCGCGTGTCGTGGGTGTGCGCGCTCGTCCAGCCGTGGGCGCTGCTGAGGAAGTGGGCGTGGTGGCCAGGCTGTACCGCTTCGGCTGCACAATGCGGCTGGGAGATCGGGTGTTGCACTTGCCGCTGCTGGCCGCGTCGTGCACGGCGCTGACTCTGCAGATTTGTGGGGAGATAACATTAGCTGGCGAATTTCGTTTAGTCTGGCCGACAGCCGCAGCCGCAGGCGAGGCGGCGCTGGGCCTCGGACTTCTGTGGTCGCGGCGTGGTGTGGTTTACGGAAACAAAACACAAACATAAATCATGCCAAACGATAAATGTTCCAAATGAAAAGAAGAAGAAATCAAATTTAGCTCAAGGATTCCAAAAATCATAATTTCGAAAAACGAATTCCGTTTGTCTGCCCCACGCGAACTCACCTGCCCGCCGGATAGCTGACCGGCCGTGGGATGCGCGACTTCTGCGCCGAGTTGGAGTTGGCTGAGGTCGTCGAGGTAGGCGTGGATCCTCCGCTCTTGGTGGCCTGCTCGTTGGCCAGCTCCTTGAGCATGCTCGAGTCCTTGCTCATGAGCTCCCACTGGATCTGCAGGCGCTTGAAGCGGTTGCTCTCGATCTTGCGCTGCTCCTGCACGTCCAGCGTCTCGCGCCGCTGCAGCGCAGCTATGGAAATGTTGGGCGAATTCGGTGGCGTCGTAAAGCGCTTGGCCTGCCCTTGCTGCCCCTGCTGGTGCTGCTGCAACTCGGCCTCGCAGTTGGCGCCGTCGTTGAAGGAGACCTTCTTCTGCTGGCTGAGCACGCGGCTCACCTCCTTCTTGAGGGCCGCCGCGTCGTACTGCACCTGGCCACCGGAAGACTCTAGAATCGCCGCAATCTCCGCGTAATACTTCAGCTCCGAGCGAGGCAGCGAGGCCAGGAAGCTCTCCGCTCGAGCCCGTGCGTCCAGATCCTTGCGCGATAGCCGCTGCTTGGCGGGCTGCGTTGGGTTCCCTGCCGACTGCTGCTGCTGCTCCTCCTCCTCAAAGACCTCGGCCAGCTCGTCTGTGGAGCCGAGGGCGTAGTTGTGCGGCGGCTCCTGCAAGCTGCGCCGCTTCTCCAGCTTCGACAGCTGCTGCGTCTGCTTGGCCTCGATCATGGAATTGCGCTTGGTGCGCATTTGCGCCGAGTTCGCCTTGCGCAGGATGCTGCGCGGCATCGGCTGCGGCCGGCTGGCAGGACTCGTCTCCGCGCCCGAGTCCATGCGCTGCTGCTCGTACTGGTAGACATACATCTGCTTCATGGGATCCGCATCGGCCTCCGAGTCGGTGAGCAGCGTCGAGGAGCCGCGATACCCGGAGCTGGGCGGCTGACTAGAGCCCGAGCTGGAGGCCTCGTCCAGCTGCGTCTGCTGCAGGGTCTTGGCGCAGTCGCAGATGCTCGGCCGGCTGCGGCGGATCGGCGGCGACATGCAGAACAGTGGGCGCTGCGAGAGCTCCGCCTCCAGCTGGCTCGTGATCTGGCGCACCTCGGGAATGTGTTGCAGCCGCTGCCGGTACTCGGCGGGCAGCAGCGTCACCAGCGACTGCCAGTCGGCGATGTGCTTGAGGTCGAGCGTCTTGAACAGCTCGTTCTGGTTCTCTCTGCCGCTCTGGCTGCTGCGCTGCTTCCGGCCCAGCGAGCCCGTCGAGCTGCCACCTGCGCCGGCACCGGAGCCGGAGCCGGCGCCGGCGCTGTCCAGCGTCATCTTGTAGTTGAAGGGCGAGAAGATGACGTCGGTGCTGCTGCTGCTGGTCTTGACGAAGCCCAGGTCGGGCAGCGCGTAGTTCGGGTAGATCACGTAGATGGGCGCCTCGCACTGCTCGCCCAGGTTGTGCAGCTTGGCGAGGAACGAGGGCGGCACGCACCGGTACCGCTCGCTCAGGCTGCTGTGCGTCGTGCTGAGGGAGCCGCAGGAGGTCTGCATCGAGCGCGTGATCATCTCCGAGCTGGAGGCGCACGACAACGGCCGATTGCTCGAGCCGCGCCTCGGCTTGCCGCCCGCCTGCACGGGCACCTCGGTCAGCTGCTCCGAGTTGCTCGCCTCCGACGACTGCTGGCTGCACTGCGTCTGCGCCTGCGTCCTGCTCTGCGCCTGGGTCTGGGTCTGTGAGTGGGCCGCCAGCTGATAGAGCTGCGGATTGCGCAGGGGCATGCTGCGGCGGCGGTGCGCCGGCGAATTGGTGGCCGTCAGGGAGCCCGTCGAGCTGGAGCTGGCGCCGTCGTCATAGAACACGGCATCGCAGCGCGAGCGCAGCTGTCGCTTGGGCGTGGACGCCGCATCGCCATCGCCATCGCCATCGGCGTCGGCATCCTCGTAGTTGTCCTCCTCGTCGTGGCGACTCACGGCCGAGCCCTTGCCCGAGTCGTGCATGCTCTTCTTGCGCAGACGCTTCTCCAGGGAGCCGCTGCTGCAGCTGGAGGCGGCGGCGTCGCTCGACGGCCAGCAGCCCGAGGAGACGTCCATGCAGGTGAGCGCGCAGGCCTGGTTCTCCTCCTGGGCGCAGCTGTTGCTGTTGCTGCTGCTGCTGTTGTGGCTCTTCTGCTTGATGAACAGCTTGACTAGATTGAAGGCGGCCGGGTTCGAGTTGCCCGACGAGGCGGAGCCCGAGCCCGAGCCCGAGCCAGAGCCAGAGATGTGGCCATGGGAAGCATTCGAGCAAAAGTTCTGACTGCCCTGCGTGGAGGACAGCGCGCAGCTGCAGCGATGCTTGTGGCGATGCTGATGCGAATGATGATGATGATGATGCTGGTGCTGGTGCTGGTGCTGGAGCTGCTGCTGAGGCGTGGGCGTGGGCGTGCCATCCTTGTGCTGCTCGTTCGCCTCCTGCAGCCGCTCCGAGACGGACGCACTGATGGAGATCGGCATCTGGCACATGGGCAGCAGGTTCCTGGAGCGCGTCGAGCACGATTCCATGGTCGAGGTGCTTATCGCCTGCGAGACGTTCAGCGGACCCGAATGATCCGACTCCAGCTTGTCCTCCTCCTCCTCCTCCCGCTGCTGCTGATCCTCGCTCAGCATCTGCTCGCTGGACAGATTTGGCAGACTGTTGCTCTTGCGCACGCTGCACTGCGGCAAATGCCGTGTGAGTATGATGGTTTCTCCTGTTCCGCCTCCCCCTCCTCCTCCTCCGCCATTGTTGTTGTTGCCCGAGGGATACCTGCGCGCGGGCGAGACAAGAAGAAGCGAGCGTCTTTACACAGCGCAGACACAGCAACAATTTCACATTATAATTTTGTTTTGTTTTTGTTTTTGTTGGAAAGTTTACGAAAATTGGTTTTTGACTCGAGCAAAGGCGGTTCTACTACCTGCGCCTGGTTTCCCTCTCTCTCTCTATCCCTATTCAGTTTTTCCTAATCTACTTTCCCTCACTCGTCTCTCTCTTTCTCTATCTCTTTGAAAACATTTGTCTCACTCGAGCTCTGCTTATTTTTGCATGCCTCTCGCAGTCGTGCCTCAATTTACTGGACGTGCATATGAAACCTAATTGAAATCAATTGAAATGACCTCTCAGCACGGCCTGCATTCGCAGCAGAGTCGGAACAAGGGGACAGCGCAAAGTGGGTTTACTCAAACATCCGCCATGCGTTGCTCGACAGTCAAAAACCAATCTGTAAGTGCGAGTGTGTGTGTGTGTGTGTGAGTGTGTGTGCACATACAGTGATCCCTCTGTGAACGTACAGCTCGATTATCGCACTAGTCTAACAGACTCAACTTGATGTAACATATTTCCAGTACAAATAGTCGAATATTCCCATTTTACTTAGCGGAAATTATATTCAAGGAAATTCCAGAAATCAACCCTATGTGAAACCCTCTGCCCACATTTATTTTCCACGCCCTTGCATAGGGTTAATCTATGGAATTTCTTTAATAATTTTCGTAAATATAATGGAAATTTTTGACTATTGGTTTACCACTTCCACTTGAGCTGATGGCCCATCTAGCAAATCGAAAATAGGTTAACCGATTTTGGTGGCAATAAAATAGATAACGATTCCTGAAGACTTTATGAACCTGAACTTCAATCTGACATAGACTGATTCCAACAGATTTTAAAGATCCTCTAGACTATATTTGATATATTTGAAATCCTCCAACATAAACACAAATTCTACTTTCAAGACATTCTCTGAGGAGTTGAGCAAGAATCGACTAGGGAATGTAGGAGCGATTAGTGAACTTGATGGATTTTATATCAACGACAAAGGGCCCTCACCGCCACCCTTTATTCCCTCTATTTTAACAATCTGACAAGTTTACGAATTCCTCAAACTGATCCAAGTGCCTAACCACTTCGCTAGCAACAGAATTCCGAGTGTTCGTTCACAGCAGGTTTCACTGTGCGTGCAGAGTGTTGCTGTGCTCTGTATGCTTGCGTTGCCTCACCGCTGTAGCTGAGCTTTGGTCGGCGTCTTTGGTGACTTGCAGGGCAGCTGAAAGGACTGGGCCGAGCGTGACATGGATACCTCCAGGGCCTTGTTGCGCTTCACAATGTCATCCAGATTGCTGTGCAGATTGATGCAGTTCTGTTTGTTTCTGGCGGCGATGTCGCAGGGTTCCGCTGTAAACAGAGAGAGAGAGAACGAAATGAACATTGAGTAACACCAGCGAGGGGGCGAGGGCCTACCATAGAAACTGTCGTCCGAGTAGAGGACGCTGCCCTCGAAGGCGATGGTGTAGTTGTCCTTGTTGCAGGTGAAGATGATGTCGCCCTCGTCCGGGTAGGCGTCCATGTCCAGCGAGTCCACCGATATGTGCGACTCTTTGACGGGCGAGAAGAGCAGCTCCGACTTGCAGAATGAATTGTCAATTAGCTCGTTCGTGGATGTGGTCGAGGTCTGCGACATGTTGTGTGCCATGTGCTGCATGTTGCTCATCATATTGCTGTGTTGCAGCTGCAGCTGCAATTGTTGCTGCTGCTGCTGTTGTTGCTGCTGCTGCTGCTGTTGCTGCTGCTGCTGTTGCTGCTGCTGCTGCTGCTGGTAGAGCAGCGACTGCTGCAGGCGACTGTTGGCGCCGCCCAAGCTCTTGCAGTAGGCGGGCAGCTGGGTGAGCAGCGAGTGTATGTCCTCCGCCCGAAAGCTCTCCATGTCCACCTCGGCCAGGTTGGCGTCCAGGTTCTTGAGATCCTCGTAGTAGATGAAGTCGCCCATCGCGTTGTACGAGGCCGACAGCGAGCTGAGCACGCTGCGCTGCATGCCGCCGCAGCCATCCCGATAGCCGTAGTCGAGGAACCACTGATAATCGGAATTGTCGTGAGTAAAGTCTTGCGACGAGGCCAGCGAACAGTTGAGATTGTTGCCACCACCACCGACACCACCACCACCACCGTTACCACCACCACAAAGCATACCACCTACCCCCAGTTGCTGCTGCTGCTGCTGCTGCAGTTGCTGTTGCTGCTGCTGCTGCTGTGATCCCGGCGTAGTCGCATTGCTGTTGTAATCCGACTCGGGCGTGAGCACAGCCGCCACGTTTGTGGCTGCCATGGCGCTGCTCCTCACTGAGATGTTGTTGTTGTCGGGCTCGGCGATGTTGTCGAGCAGGAAGAGGCTGTCGCTGCTGTTGCTGCTGATGTGGTTCACCTGCTCGTTCAGTATGATGCTGCGCAGCGCGCTGTTGTAGCGATCCAAGTTGCTCAGGACGATGGCCACATTCTGCTTGAGGCTCTCCTCGCTCAGTTCCTCATCGCACTGCTGCTGCTGCTGCTGCTGCTGGCAGTGCTGCAGGTGCTGCTGCTGCAGCAGGCGGTCGTTCAGCTGCTGCTGCTTGTATCGCTGCCTGCCGGCCGTCGCATGGGCTAGCGTGAACAGCGAGTTGTTCGGGCTGTTCAGGGGGATGCGGTAGTGCTGCGGGGACTGCGGGGCCGAGCCTGGGCCGCTGGCGTTGGCCAAACTAGTATTGAATGCAGCCGTGTTGCCGTTGTATTGCTTACCCCCGACTCTCGACGATTGTTGCTGCTGCTGCTGCTGTTGCTGTTGCTGCTGCTGTTGCTGGGCTAAGCGTGAATTCAAATTGATTTGCGTTTGATTTGTATTAGTTTTGGCATATGGTTTGTGAGTTGTGGGTGAACTTTGTGGCGAGGTGAATGGGTGTTCGATATGGCGCTTGATGTTGCTGATATTGCTGATGTCGTTCGCTGTTGAGATGTCTGTCATACCACGTCGCAAATGTGTACCTGCAAGAGAGCGAATCGAATAGAGATCATATATCATAGGACCAAAAATGAGTTATAGTAAAAGGAATCTGATGATATATCTATATCTATATCTATATCTATATCTATATCTATATCTATATCTATATCTATATCTATATCTATATCTATATCT